ACAATTGAGCAATTTATACAAAATGAACCAGAATACCAAATTAAACACAGTGGTTTCAAGTATGAATTAAAAAAAAAAAAGATTATGAAATAAACCTTAGGGACTACTCACATGACAGGCCTGACAAGTTCAGTGACCAAAGATAGCAACACAGGATGGTCTGATCATAAATTCCTAACTGGGAACATCATGGCCTGTAGTTATGTCCCAGGTCCCAGGCCTGTCACTCTCTTAAGGGCTCCCTGTCCACTGTTCTTATGCATATAGGATAACATACTTTTGAAATATCAGAGTGGTTTTCCTTTGAAGACCCCGGAAAGATATAACCACAGGCACCAGAGCACAAGACCACCACAACAGGACAGGAAACCCTCATTGTTATCTTGTTCCCCACTGACCATCTCTATGAACTATCTTGCACCCACCAGTGAAAAGGAGTGTGTGCTTCTTCGTACTTGTGTCCAGTCATAGAGCTTTCCCTGCTTTGCTTCTCCTGCCCTCTTAATCTACACCATGGATTTCATACTAGTATACTTCCTCTACATTTTCTCCTTTGATTCTCAGTGCATGAAAGGAATGGCAAAACTACTGTCCTCCAGGGCATTATCTCAACCCAAGGAGCTCTTGCTTCTGGGCCTTTCCTCAAAGATTTTGCCTCAAATAAACATATCAACTTTTCTACAAGTTTGAAGGTTGTTTTTTTTGTTTGTTTGTTTTTTGTTTGTTTGTTTGTTTGTTTGTCAACATGTGGGGAGGTATGAGAAAAATGTAATTCTATCTTTTGTTCTTGATTTGAAAATGACTGAAATGAGAAATTTTATGGTAAGAATTCAAACATTATCAGTAATAGATTACAGTTGTATTTTGGGGTCATAGGAAATTATAAATAATTTTGCACTGCTATTTTTTAGTTATTTTTCCTATACAACAAAATAGTTATAACTTCACTATTCTTCAAAATTTCCCCCTAAACTACTAGAATGCTTCCACTAGAGTGCAAAATTGAGACGACATGCTATCAACATTTAAAGATACGGTGCAAGCCAATTCCCATTTAGTAGAAACTGTTTTGTTTTTTTAATTTAGCCTTTCTATTTTTTTAATATTACCTGGAGCCCTTTTAAGTTCCCTGAAAAACAAATATTTGACTTCATTCCTAGTATATAATAAAAGTGCAATCAGGAGACACAAGCAAAGCATAGTTAGGTCTTCTAAGGCTCATTTATGAATCATAAAAGGCTCGATAGTGTTAAATACCAATTGCAATGCTAAGGAAACATGCTGGGAAGCATTCGCGCAGCTGGAAAACCATAGCACCAGGAGTCCTATTAAAAATAATGTAAAATAAGTGTAGATCTCAACAGACTTCCTACTTTGCCACAGTTGTTTTATAAACTAAAACAGAATTTTGTCTTTGTAGTTTCTTTTAACCGTAAAATGATCAAGGTTTTGTTTGTTTGCTTTTAAATTTTTAGCAGCACTTAAAGTTATAAAAAGAAGCCTCATTGAAAAGAAGGAAAAAAAGCTTTTATTGACTAATTCTCTTAGCAACCACTAATGGTATTAATATTAAAACACAAGACTCTTTAAGCACAAAGGAACTGTAAACTTCTTTGTCACTTCTAAAATAGCTAAGCTTAAATGTTACTTAAAAAAGCAAACACTTCTCATAATCTAATCCACTCAATTCTAGCAAGATAAAGAGACTGAATATGGTTTTAAAAATTGCTCATTTTTACTGTACTTACAAAAAAATCTCTTTTTTGCTCATAACATTATGTCACACATATAATTATTAGTTTTATTTATTTTTTATGTTTATTGAATTTGTTGGGGTGACATTGGTTTGCAAAACCATACAGGTTTTAAGTGTACAATCCAATAAAACCTCATCTGTACAGTATTTGGTGTGCCCATCACTCCGAGCAAAGTCTCTTTCCATCCCCATTCTCTCCTCTTCTTTGCCTCCTCCATCTACCCACCACCCTCTCTTTCCTTCTGGCTGTCACCACACTGTTCCGTGTGTGTGTGAGTGTGTGTGTGTGTGTATAAAATATTTTTTACCTAATCCCTTTACATTCTTTCATTCAGTCCCCTAACCCCCTTCCCCTCTGACAGCTGTCAGTCTATAATAATTACGCTTCAACAGTAAAACAGTAATCTGGTAAACTAATTCAATACTGTTTAAAAGCCAAGATAAAGGAACATGAAAGAAAGCATTTGTACCCTTTTGTGTATAGTAACAGCAATAGTAATAATAGTAGAAATAATAATAACAACAACAATTACTGGTCTTGAGTGTTTTCCATTTGCTAAGCAACACACTAAGATCTGTAGAATACATTCACTCTAATTGAGAGCCGGCTTCTCAAATATGATGCATACATTCCTTAAATAACGCAATAGAAGAAGTGAGTTTAGTATCTATAATTGCATACCAGTTTAAGGATGCAGTAATTTTTTGACTTGCATTTATGTTTTGATGGTGTGTGTGTGTGTGTGTGTGTGTGTGTGTGTGTGTGTGTGTGTGTTTAATCTGTATTAGTATACACAAGAGTATCCATCTATGCCAAGAGCTTTTCACACAGTAAATTGTGTGAGATCAGCATTTAAATTATTCTTTCTTCTGTTATTGTCCTTCTTCCCTTCCTTCTGTCTCCTGCATCTATTCCCCATCTCTGCTGTTGCAATGATGTATTTGACTAAACTAAAAAGGACTAAAGTGCTGTTGTACTCCCAGATATTAGCATTTAGCTCAAACTGCCATTCTGTGGAGTAACATCATTCCCATTGTACATATAATAAAACTGATCTTAAGACAGAATTAGTAACATTCCAAAGAATATGTACCAAATAAATGAATAGATAGATGATGGATGGATGGATGGATGGATACATGCATGCTTGGATGTATAGATAGATAAATCGGTAGGTGATAGATAGATAGATAGATAGATAGATAGATAGATAACACCTAAATTCCTAAATTTGTACAACTATGATGTAAGTGTGGGTCTGTGGAGTATGAGTATACAGTATTCCCTCCCACATTTTATCAGTATGACCATAGGAGGTCAGAGAAGCCCCAGTAGATCAGTGGCTTCAGCTGCCTCCAGCTGAGGCTCATTCTGTGTGAAAGATAAAAGGACAAAAAATTTCAAGTAACAAGAAGCGTTTGTGAGTAGGCACCAGAAGTAGTAGTACTACAAGGGTTCAAAAAATCAGGCTGTTTAAAGGAGTGAAAATGTTAGGAATGGACTATGGAGTAGGGGCCCAACACAGAAGCCCAGAAGTGAATGTTAAGTAGGTGACAAGGAGAGAGCTCAAATTTGACACAATATTAAACCATAAAATAAGTATAAGGCAGTCCAAAAGTATTTTGACATTTCCTATAATTATTTATTTGATTAAAAACATATTGAATACTATTTAAAAATAATGTGTGCCCAGCTTTGTTGATATCCCAAACATAATTTTTCCCATTATTTTATCTATTGCTAATCGAACAGTGTAATTTTCTTGTAATTCCTCCCTATTTGTAATTAATTCTAATATAAAGTTACCATTCACAAGACACAGAACATCAAAAGTTCCAATGAATAAACTTTACATTAAAACTTAACATTATTTCACTGACTAGGCTTCAATTCAAAATTAATATCAATAGCAACTATAATCACTACCTATTTGTCATTGTAATAGTTTCTAAATATTTTAGATTTTAGTCCTCAACAAGAATACTCATAAACACTAAAGGAGAAATATAGAATAAGTAAGAAGACACAAAGTTTGGGCTTATTAGTTATGCCTTATTATTACCTAATATATATCAGATAATGCATTAGAAAAGTTGTAGATATCAATCATAATTAACAATATATTATTCTCTTCCTTTCATGTGCAAAACATCCTTCTTCTTGATAATAAAATTTGAAATTAATAAAGTATTTTAAAAATACTTTGAAAATTGCCTATATTTGTTATTTCCATAAGTAAAAATTTAAATTTAAGGTACAGTTCATAATTTTTTTAAAATGAAAATATTTTTATTATTTTGTAGAATTCTTACCAATATTTTTTTTGCCTTAATATTATGGAAAATGTCAAAATAAACTTATGTATTACAAAACACAAAGTAAACACAATATAATATTTAAAAGATAAGAGTTTATTTTTAAAATGTGAGTTAATTAACACTGCCAATTAAGAAATAATGAAATAATGCTTTCTTTGCCAAGAAGAAATTCTTGGTTAATTTCATTAAAAACATAAAATAAAGTGTCTAGCCTCCTGTCTAACTATGCTTAATATTATTTTTTTAAATATGTTTTTATTTATTTCAGAGAGGAAGAGAGAGGGAGACAGAAACATCAATGATGAGAGAGAATCATTGATTGGGTGCCTCTTGAATGCCCTCTACTGGGGATGGAGCCAGTAACTTGGTCATGTGCCTTGACGGGGAATTGATCCATGACTTCCTGGGTTCATAGGTTGTCATCACTCAATCACTAAGTGACATGGTTAATATCCTTGATTTATTTTTACATAGTATCTTATTTTAGGTTCTTTGGGTATAATTTTCTCTTATCTCTAAAATATAAGTATCTTATCCTGGTATATGAAAATTTTATAATGAAATTAAGATTTGTATCACCCATTCTCTTTGTTAAATAGAAAGTTAGCATTATAAAGCGGGGGAAAAAAATAGTGTTGGAAAACCACATTCCATTTTATAAATGAAGAGCAAATACTTTCAAGATATCAAAATCACTCATACTAGTAAATTTAAGACAAATAACTCTCTGTAATAGAACTATACATCTCTCTTTGATTCTTTATATTTAATTGCGCAAAAAACATATACTTTGAGTAAAATTGTTGCAGGAAATATATATTTGAAATATATTATTGCTCTTTGACATTTTTAACCACTTATCATAAAAAAGTAAAATCTCTTAGCCATCTACCAAAGGTATTAAATAATGATAAAAGGGACTTACATGATCAATTAGTTCACGGACCATTCCATTCCATTGTCCATTGGCATCATCCTGGGCTCCATATTTCCCATCCTCTACAAGTCTAATTTCATATGTAAAGCCAAGGATTGTAGATAATTCTCTGAGAAGGTCAATGCAATAGCCTTCAAATCTATCATTCCCATAGAGTGGTTTGTCAGACTTCTTAAACAGGACATAGGGTTCTTCCTGAAAAGAGTGAACATGAAGATAATAGGTATTAGCGAATCATGAAACTATTAGAATTATAGTGCTTCTTAGAAGATAGAAAAATTTACATTAATTTGTGTATACAAGTCAATTTTATTGTTTTCTAGTAATTAATAGTTTGAAATATTAATAAAGTAGATTAACAGCAATATTTGTGCATCACAAAAGGTTATTTAAATATAATAATTTTACTTTGACTGCATAATAAAAATATAATGTTATGTTTTTAGCATATAGCTTAAATCATATATAATAAATAATATGGCATGTTATATACTGCATAATACATATAGATATATGTATAGGTATAATATATAGTACATTTAAATATAATTTCACCATTATTACAATACCCACGCTTAATTTATATCATTTAATCAATATTTGATATGCTATTTCAGTGGGATCTATTGATAAATTAATTTTTTAAAAAGTTGTTGCCTAATTACTTACCATGTGCTAAGAACTAGAGTAGTACTTTTATATATATTATCATTTTTTTTTCTAACAACCAGGAAAATTACAACTATAATTTTTAATTATTTGAGAAAAATAATAGTTTCTTTTAGAATCCTATCTAATATAGAGGGAATATGCTAATTGACCCTCACAATGTCACAAAGATGGTGACACCCACAGCCAATAAGAAAGGAATATGCTAATTGACTGCTACACCCTCAAAGATGGTGGCACCCACAGCCACAAGATGGGGACACCCAGTCCCCTCAGTCTGTCTGGGGTGGCAGGCATGCAGCAAGGCCAGGCCCGCACCCAGGCAGGCCCGGGTATTTCATGCACCTGCCTCTGCATTTCCCCAGTCCCCTCAGCTACCCCAGCCACCCAGGGCCAGACTGAGGCACAGGCAAGCCTCAGATTGTGGCTGCCCAGCTGCCCAGGACTGGCCTGAGGCTCAGGTAACCAGGGCCGGCCAAGGCTTGTGCTGCCGGCAGTGGCAGCAGCAGAGGTGTGATGGGAAATCACCTTTCCCTGATCGCTGGGTCGCCTCCCGCCCCTGAGGGCTCCCAGACTGTGAGAGAGGGCAGGATGGGCTGAGAGACGCCCCCTCCCCCAGTGCATGAATTTTTGTGCACTGGACCTCTAGTATATTATAAAACTAACATTTATTAAGAACATATACATTCATACAACATTTTATGAACCACCTACTATGAGGCAGCCCTTTTCTATAAAAGAGAAATCCAAGTCCTCAAGTTCATGATATAGAGAAGAAAACCAATAATAAATGCCTAAACAAATAGAGCACGTAACTTTGTCATCAATAAAAAGTATAAAAACGTAAAATAGGACAATAGGATACACAACTACTGCAAGATATTTGGCAAGATAAGATAAAACACAATTGAGTAATATGTGTGAAATGCTTTTCTAAGGAGAGGAGAGATGTGGTAGTACTTAAGAGAAGGAGTTTGGCCACTTGAAAATCTGAAAGAAGGGGATTTTAGATCAAGACACAGCAAGTAAAAAGCCCTGAGACTAATATGATACTGAAAAGTTCCAGGAAGAGAACAGCCATCGATGAAGAGATTAAGTAAACAATAACAGCAACAAAAAACTCCTCATAGACAAGAGAGCAATATGTGATGATCCTTACTCTTTTACGATAGTCATTTTCAAGAGAGGTTAAAAGAATTTCCCAGTTTATATGGTTACCAAGAGATAAAGAGGATCTAAGAAGAGGAAAAGATGATATTTTTAACTCAGATTATTTAAATTCCAGGATACACATTTCCCCCACTATTTTATATTGCTTTCTATACTATTAGACCATTTATGAAAATCCATGCATGCTGAATTTTTAAATGCATTTAGGTTAAATAACTTTAAATCAGAAGTTAATCTGTAGCTAAATTCAAAGCTAGATAATTGATTTTACCATTAGTAAGAGAACAGTTAGTATCCTCTCTAATTTTTATGTACGTTGTCACAAGTAAACTTCATTCCCCAGAGGTACACAGAGTACTAAGAATGTGATAGATATAGTATTTTTCCAACCTTGAAGTTATTATATCCATTTCTGCTCTACTCTTTAAATGAGATAACATTATACCGTCGATCACAATTTAGATACCTTTGTTACACTGACAAGAGGAAATACTAAAGGTAAACAGCTTTCATGTGCAGAGCATATTCAGGTGTCTCTTTTTCTGGTTTTCCTACACAACTTTTAAGTTATTTTACCATAATATTACTATGTTGAGTAGTGGGAGATGATTTATATGTGTATTTTCTTAACTAGAATTGCAAAATGTACATGGCAAGATAATTACTTAAATTTTCATTAATAGTACCATTCATCACTACACACCGTAGCAGGCTTACAAACAAAATGACGGTATAGTAAATTAAATGAAATGGGTTGCTTTGGTCAATGGGGGTAGAGGGATGAAAAGGGGGCAGGGGACAAGGGAACTGGAACTTGAAGAGAAAAATTACCAGAGGTCTGTTTCCCTTGGGGGTCCTACTGTAGTAACAAATTCTCAGGTCACTAACCCATGAGCAGAGGGTTAGGGACTTGAGAAGTATATATCATATTCCTCTGCAGAAGAGAAGCCAGCCAGAGAATTTAGGGCTGGGAATAAAAGAAGCATATTGGTTCAATAGATCAATTCTGTCAACTTCATACTTTGGTTTTCATTCAGTTTCTGACTTATAAATGAATTTATGTATATATATTAAATTAATTACATATATAAATTATTTTTTACATATATTAAATACATATAAAATAAATTATATTAATATGTGTTGATTTAAAAGTCATAAGCACTAGACATTTGTCAAGATCCCTGCACTAATAGCACCATCTAATATTTTCTAAGAACTTACTTTGAGTCAGGTCCTGTTCTATGTGCTTTTCTTAGATTAAATAATTTATTCCTTATTGCAATCCTGTAATGGTCAGTAACATTATTGTTTCTATTTATCCGTAAAATAACTGAGGACAGGGGTGCAAAGTATTTTGCCTAACAACGGCACACAATTCGGTAGTCAGACTACTAGACAGCATTAAATGGTTCCTAGTGATCATTTCCAAACAGCATGTGAATGCATAATTGCACATAGCTCATTGGATAACTTAATATGTACTCTATGGCTTTATTTTTTTTTTTTCAATCAACTGGGATTAACTTCTGGTCTATGCTGCATGCAAAATAATATACTTACTCATTAAACAATCCAATCAAAACAACAATGTAGAGAAAATGAGTAACTATATAATCCAAAACTTCATTTTCTACATCACAAATTATCTCCTTTCCAAATAAGAATGCATGTTTTTAACTTAATAGTACAGAATTTAGGAAAATAGCATATTTTAAAACCATCAGACTCAGTAATACATGTCTAAAAATGCTCCTATTTTCCTATTTTCACTGTTCAATCACCATTGTCTCTATTTTTACTTTTTTGTTCCAAAATATTTATGGTTTATTTTTTCACACAAATTTACTTGAACACTGAAGAAAAATATGGTAAAAGCTAGTGAACACTGAAGGATCCAGGAGGCATGGGAGGCATATGTGCACAGGTTACAAAAGCATAACAAAAATTTCAAGAATTATTATGCTATTTAAATGACATTTATCTAGCATGTAGTAGTAACCATTTGACCTATTAACTTGATTTTCTTCACCTATACCCTAATAAGAAAACTTCTGTCAGAGGCAAATAAGTTTGTTGACCCCTGTGAGATTAAAAAGTCTCCTTAGACAGGCTTTCGCATTACTAGCATAGAAAAAAAATTATGTGGCCTGAGTGCATCTTTTTAGTATTTATGGATCTCTACAATGTCAAATACCATTTCCCCATATTTAATTCTGATAAGTAAGACACAGTTTTCCAGCTGCGATTCCTATCTCCAGTTACACTGTGTCACAAGATAGTTTACATGGAGTTATGACTCTCCTTTAAACTCTCTTTCTCTGCTTCGCACAGCACAAGAATAAATAATATACTCATGTAAGAAAAGAAAAATGGTACCAGAAGCAATTACTGTACCACATATTGAGTTCAATGAATAATATGATAAAACTCTCTTGGGCAACTTCACTGATTTCTCATAGAGTCTCAAATCTCCACATCAGCATTTGCTAGAGGTAAAGGCACTTCATTCTACCGGCATCTGTAATAAGGATTTGTCAGCGTTTCCACTATCAACTCCAGTTTTAAGGAACCCGGCAACTCACATATTTTTATCAGCATTGGATGGGGGTTGGCACAGAATAAACCTAAAATAAAGTTCTGAAAAAGTAAAGTTTGTTTTAAGGTTCAGGGGAACAAAATGTTTTATTTATATGTAATGAAATTTCATGATTATAAGTGTATAACTCATATATACCTCAGTCCTTATCTACAGAGAGCTAAATATCTTCTTTAGATGTTAACCCTTGTAAGATATGGTTTTACCCATGATATTCAAAAGACAAGGCCATAAAGAGAAAATTAATATTATATTATAATATGTGAAACATATCTTGTTACTGAAATAATAAAGCTAAACTAACTAATTTATTTCTTCGAACATGAACTGAACTATTTTGTGCCAGCACTCTTTTAGGCTCCAGATATACAAAAATGAAAAACAAAAGAAAAATATACCTAAGAACTCTGCCCTCCTGGAGCTCCCATGTAGTGATGAACATAAGACACTTATCTATTTCATATAATCCTGTATTACTTGCATGGCTACTCTGCTTCATTAATCATTAGGACAAAATATTACTTTAGGACACATTTCTAAGAAACACAACTGGGTGTCTTGTTTTAGAGCATAATGTTCCTCTGTTGGTATTCAATTGGCTCCAGTCTGGTTCTGAATTTACTTTATTATCAGAACATTTTAAAAATTAGTTTGTGGCAACCAGCTAAAACCCAAATCGCTTATGGAAAACATTATTCTCAATTAAGAACAGTATTAAAGAATTTATATTTTATGCATTTATATTGTTAAAACTCTT